TAAAATACCCCAAAAAAACCTCCTAAAATCCAGGAAAATAACTTAAAATACCCCAAAAAACATCCTAAAATATGGGAAAATAACCTAAAACACCTCAAAAACACAGTAAAACACCCAAAAAACACCCTAAAATACAGGAAAATAACCTAAAACACACCAAAAACACAGTAAAACACCCAAAAAACACCCTAAAATACAGGAAAATAACCTAAAACACCTCAAAACCACCCTAAAATACAGCAAAATACGCTAAAACATCACAAAACCACACTAATACACCCAAAAAACACCCTAAAATACCCCAAAACTTCCTAAAATACACCAAAATACCCCTAAAACACACCAAAACACCCTAAAATACAATAAAACACCAAAAAACACACCTCAAAGACCCCAAAAACACCTCAAAACCCCCCAAAAACCCCCAAAAAACACCAAAAACACACCTCAAAGACCCCAAAAACACCTCAAAACACCCTAAAACACTCTAAAGCACGCCAGAAACACCCAAAATACCCCAAAACACCCTCAAACACACCAAAATCCTCCAAAACCCACCAAAACACCTCAAATCGTCCCAAAAAAACCCCAAAAATGCCACAAAACCAACCCAAAACCCGAACTACCCAAGAACGAACACCCTGAAACAGCCAAACAACCCCAAACCAGCCGAAACCACCTCAAAACACCAAAACCTCCCCAAAAATCACCATCCAAAATACTCCCAAACACCCTAAAACACACCAAAACACCCTAAAATACAATAAAACACCAAAAAACACACCTCAAAGACCCCAAAAACACCTCAAAACACCCTAAAACACTCTAAAGCACACCAAAAACACCCAAAATACCCCAAAACACCCTCAAACACACCAAAATCCTCCAAAACCCACCAAAACACCTCAAATTGACCCAAAAAAAAACCCAAAAATGCCACAAAACCAACCCAAAACCCGAACTAGCCAAGAACGAACACCCTGAAACAGCCAAACATCCCCAAAACAGCCGAAACCACCTCAAAACACCAAAACCTCCCCAAAAAGCGCCCCAAAGCACCTCAGGTCAGAGCAAAACCAATCCAAGATCCACTCAAACACCCCAAAATCCCCAAAATCACCCCCAAATCCCCCCAAACTCACGCCGACACCCCGTCCCTTCACTCGGCTCCGTGCCGACCCCGCAGACGCAGCCCAGCGTGGGCAGCTCGGCCTAGCGCCCGTGTCACACCGTATAACACCCCAAAATCCACTCAAATAACCCAAAACCCCCCAAATCCCCCCAAACTCACGCCGACACCCCGTCCCTTCACTCGGCTCCGTGCCGACCCCGCAGACGCAGCCCAGCGTGGGCAGCTCGGCCTAGCGCCCGTGTCACACCGTATAACACCCCAAAATCCACTCAAATAACCCAAAACCCCCCAAATCCCCCCAAACTCACGCCGACACCCCGTCCCTTCACTCGGCTCCGTGCCGACCCCGCAGACGCAGCCCAGCGTGGGCAGCTCGGCCTAGCGCCCGTGTCACACCGTATAACACCCCAAAATCCACTCAAACACCCCAAAATCCACTCAAATAACCCAAAACTTCCCAAAATCCCCCCAAACTCACGCCGACACCCCGTCCCCTCGCTGGGCTCCATGCCGACCCCGCAGACGCGGCCCAGTGCGGGCAGCTAGGCCTAGCGCCGGTATCACACCGTATAACACCCCAAAATCCACTCAAACACCCCAAAACCACCCCAAAACCCCCCCAAATCACCCCAAAACTCACGCCGGCACCCCTTCCCTTCACTCGGCTCCATGCCGACCCCGCAGACGCGGCCCAGCGTGGGCAGCTCGGCCTAGCGCCTGTGTCACACCGTATAACACCCTGTAACACCCTGTAACACCCCAAACCACCCCAAAATCAACCCAAAATCAACCCAAAACCCCCCAAATCCCCCCAAAATCACGCCGACACCCCGTCCCCTCGCTGGGCTCCATGCCGACCCCGCAGACGCAGCCCAGCGCGGGCGGCTCAGCCTAGCGCCCGTGTCACACCGTATAACACCCCAAAATCCACTCAAACACCCCAAAATCCACTCAAATAACCCAAAACACCCCAAATCCCCCCAAACTCACGCCGACACCCCGTCCCTTCACTCGGCTCCGTGCCGACCCCGCAGACGCAGCCCAGCGTGGGCAGCTCGGCCTAGCGCCCGTGTCACACCGTATAACACCC